TTTGTAAAACCCTCAGTAATGACAGGAGAAGCCAAAATAACATATGGTAGCCTTTTAAATGAAAAAATGGAACTCAAAAGGGAGGACTCACTAAAGGAACAAAATATCAACTTAACTTGGTGGGATCGAAATATAATAAATGCAAGATTTATGATTGATAAAAAAATAGGTTTCTATACTAATCAGAATGAAATAGATAAAATTTGGCTCTCCTCTAGCGATAAATTAATTCAGAAACTATATTCCATACTACTGGAGGAAGAATTAGAGAAAGAAAATATTAAGAAGTCAATGTTAACTTGGAACAAAGAGATAGGGATTACCCTAAAAGCAGATCAATGGAAAAAAACCTGGAGATCAATAAAATACATGAAGGCAATCCCCTATAAAGAAAACATTTACAAAATGTTTTACAGATGGCATTGGACCCCTGAAAAAATTGCTAAATGCTTTCCCCAGTCCTCTGCTGGAGATGTAAAAAAAATGTAGGTACATATCTTCATATCTGGTGGAGATGTGATAAAATACACTCCTACTGGAAAAAAATACACAAAACCCTAAGAGAAGTATTTAAAATAAATATTCCTTTAAAACCCGAAACATATCTATTAAATATGATCCCAGACAGTGTAAAAAACCATAAGTCAATTATAATATACATTCTGACAGCAGCAAGAATACTGATAGCAAGGCGGTGGAAATCGAAAGATATACCATCTATGAAACAACTTAAACATAAGATTTTGGACGTTGCGGAAATGGATAAACTGAGTTTGGAACTGAACAATAAACCTGAGAATGTATTTTGGAAAAGATGGAAAACAGTATACGACTGGCTAAAACATAAAAGAAAAGTTTGAATTGTAAGCTAAAAGCTAGTGGAAAACATTTTGGAAATCGAAAGACTTTTTTTTTTTGGAAATGTATAAATGAGCTATTCTTTACTATATTTTATGTATATAATGTAAAGGTGAAAATATGGAAAATAAATTTATAAAAAAAAAGAAAGAAAGAAAACTCATTCCTTACTGCAGATTTTGTGAGTCTTTAAGGTGCTACTGGACTCTTATGCTTTTCTACAGGTATAAGTCTGTTAGTCTTCAAGCAATCCCTCTGGACTTGTTTTAATTTCAGTTCTTACAAATCTAAAGGCACAAGCCTGGATAAATTCTAGGGCATAACTCACCTGAGAGATTTCTGTTGTTGCTTAAAAAGAGAAATTGAAGTTTTCCCCTCATGCTCATCACACTCCATCTGAGGAGCTGCACTGATTTGCGGGCAAAGTGCCAGAGCAGGTGCCTGAATCAGACAGACTGGATGCAGTGTGGCATGAATTGAGAACTTTGGAAACTGTAGATTTCCTACCTTTAGATTTTCACTGGTTAAGAGGCAAATTATAGACATTTTGGGGAGGGGGACACAGTGACATTACTTAAGAACTTAATTGTTTTATCCTCTAATATTTTTATGGCCTCAGGCCAGCAGCACCTTGAAACCTGATTCTTCTTTGTCTGCCAGAAGATCCACCATAAACGGGTGTGACAAGGTCTTAAAAGGATTACCTGAAAAGTCTGCCTTTTCTCTTTCTATCTCTTTTTTTAAAAAAAATTGTAACATCCAGCCCGATGGAAGAGTTCTCATGAACCCGAATGCTTACACACTGTTATGTGTTGTAAGGTCGGTCCTAAGGCATTACACAAATTGCGCTCTTGACTTTTTGGATTCTCCTGCCAACCTAGCAGTTCGAAAGCAAGAAATTGCAAGTAGATAAATAGGGACCACTTCGGTGGGAAGGTCACAGTGTTCCGTGCGCCTCGGTGTTTAGTCATGCTGGCCACATGACCACGGAAACGTCTTCGGACAGCGCTGGCTCTTCAGCTTTGATGAGCACCGCAACCCTAGAGTCGGATTCGACTGGCTTTCGAACAAGGGAACCTTTACCTTTACCTTTTTGGATTACACCACTTAGGGCAACTTGAGAAATGCTTTGCTTTGTTTTCTTTTAATCTTGATGCTTTCCCTTAGTATTAAAGGTCCAGAAGGCCTTTAGACCCAGAATCTACACCTCAGTCTGGCAGAGGCTTACAAAGCAGCCCATCCTTAGAGACAGTGCTCATTTGAGGGGAGGGCAGATAATCCTGCGGAGGGGGAGGGTCACATCAGCTGACTGTCCAATTTAGATTCTGGTTAGTGATGAACAGAACATTTTTCCAGGAAGGCTTAGAAGACAACGGAACATCTCAAGGCCCTTTAGAGAGAAGGGGACCTGTACAGGCTCTGAGTATCAGGTGCCAGAGGTCAGGCAAGGCAGGGTCGTTCAGTCCAAGGTCAGGGTTCCAGACGTCAGGAAAGGCAGTTGTTGAGTCCAAAGTCAGGTTCCAAAAATCAGGCAAGGTAGAGTCAGTGGGTCAGAGTTTATTGTACACGTTGTGTCTACACCTAACAGCCTCTCCTGGCTGGTTTTGTAGCCATCTACCTAAGGGTCAGGCTTGCAGCTGGCTGCTCAGAAGCAATCCTGCAACTACTCATCTGTGTTATCAGCAAGCAGCTGGCGTCAGGCCAGGAGTCGTGCACTTTGCCATCTTGTCTGTAGCTCTGTTCTCAGCCTTCATCTGCAGCGCTCTAAGGATGTAGGTGATACTGGTGGACTGGGAAGGGCCAACTGAGGTTCACCTGTTGAACCAGGACTGGAGGGTGTGGGTGGCTCTGCACCAGCAGTTGACTGTGAATCCGGACAGGCCTCCAGCTCAGTTTCCTGGTGGTCAGTTTTTGTTGACTCAAGGTTGGCTACACGGGGTCCCTGTTTTACCAAGGAGCCTCTTCCTCTGAGGAGTCCTCGCTATTGTTGAGCCCTGGCTGACTCATGACAGGACCCCTTTGAAGAAGGACGGAGAGGATTGGCCTCTCAGTTGAGAGGCTGAGAGAGGAATGGCTAAAAAGAACCATGCCTGTCTTGATCCCCAGAATGGGATTCCTAACTGGTGCATCTATCCAAGTTTCATGAACCGGAATATCGATGCTTTCAGGACTCTGTGGTGGCTTCTTTTACATACTCACCTGTGGGGATTAGGAACTTTTCTTCTGTCTTGTGGTCTTTCAGAAGGTGAATGTAGAAATGGATGATGTAGGAAGGCCTGAATTTTTTGTAGTAACTAACTAGTCCGTTTGTTTCCTCCGAAGCAATTCCCAAGCCTGGCCTCATCTCCTGGCTTCAGGAAAGCAAAGCACCGTTTCCATCGGACCCCGAAGATGAGGAGAGGTCGGCAGGTGGGTGCTTAGAGGCGTGATGGGCAATGCTCCCTCTAAGCTGTGGAGTCTTGTGAGCAAAAATTCTACCTTGTGAGCTACTGGTGTTGAAGTTGTGAGCGAGCGACTTGGCTGCTGCATAAGTTAGCTTGCTCTGGGGAGCCGTCCTTCCTGGGCTAAGATGAAGATGTGTGAGCTGGAGGCTAAAAAACTGTGAGCGAGCTCACACTAACTCAGCTTAGAGGGAACACTGGTGATGGGCCTCATTGTTGGCTGGGCGTTGATCTATTTCCTTGGAGGGCAGCTAGATGTTTCGAATGACCCTGATCACCCAGACAGTGAGCTCAGGTACCCTCGGAATACCTCCATTCCACCTACCTTGGAAGTATCTCCTCATTCTGGACTGTCTACATTGCAGGAACACATTTTCAGGATTCTGCCTCCTACTTTGGTGCAGGCAAATAAAATCACTTCTTAAAAATCATTAAGGTGAAGAAAAGCACTTTATAAAACCCAGAGCTAAAATAAAAAAACAAACATTGGGTGGGAAGGAAAAATCACTGAGGGAATCCCAAACGAAACAACAACAATGCTACAGCCGAGACAGCCCTATCCTGAATTGCCCCTGCCTCATCTAAGAAAGCGAGGCACTTGAAGTAGAGCGTTTGAAGATGTCCACAGTGATCAGGTAGGTTCATAGGTCAGTGGAAGTCATTCAGGGCCCTTGATAACAGAAAATTCAATACATTTGGTCTGCCAACTTAATGGACATGCTGCACATCTAAGGCATCTAAAATGTCCATTAGGACTGTTTTCAATGTTAGCATCCACCTTTAGGTCTGCGTGGACCAACAAATCCTTAATGGTAGAAGTTTTCCTAAATCCTATAAAGGGTTTGCAGTTGCACCCTGGCACATCACTTAAAATGTGCCAATGTTTAAGGACAACCTTCTTAATGGAATATGCCAGTGAGGTGTAGTCGATAGCCCAACTTCTGATATTGAATTTTCTGAGACCAAATGTATTGAATTTTCTGATAATAATTTTAAGTTTGAACTTAAGAGCTGTTCTCTGATAAACCTTTCTTCAGCACTATCTGTGAGTGTTTTATATTTTTTAAAAATGAAATAAATGAAACCACTCATATGAAAGCCTTTAGTCTAAATATATTTGGTAGTTATATACTTAAATATCATTGAGCTGCTGTGTCAAAAACTGTTGAGGGCTATTAAAAATATCTGCAGGGAAGCCGTGAAACTCTTCAGATGAAAACCATTGACGAGGCGTGCCGAAGTTGCTTGTATCCCATTGCCAGTTTAGAAACCAGATTAAAATGGAGGAAAGAACTTGGTCATGCTGCAGAAGAGTTAGCTCTGTTATGGCTGCAGATTATAGACTCATTTCCCCTTCTAATCAGAAGTCTTTGTTCCACCAGGTCACAGGCAGGAGGACGAGACTTATAGTGAGCGATGCGCGATATCTATCAAAACGACTGGTCATGAAGTGGAAGAAAACCCTTCCAGGAATCAAGAACAGTCAAAGAGGAAGGATGAAAGCAAATTAGAGCCTGTAGTTTTCCAGACTGGGATCCTTCTTGAAAATCCATCCCGAGAAGAATATGGCAAAGGAAAGAGGAGGAATAAGCATTCTGCAAGCAGTGCAATATTGAGATGTGAATCCAACTTTTCTTCCCATCAGAGAATCCATGCAGAAGCTGAAATGTACAAATGCTCTGAATGTGGGAAAGGCTTCAGCAGGCTCATAAGCCTCACTTCTCATCAGAGAATCCATAAGAGGGAGGAGCGTTCCAAGAGTTCAGACTGCGAAAACTCTTTTGGTCTGAGTGAAAACCTTACTTCCCATCAAAGAACCCACAGAGGGCAAAAACCATGCCAGTGTCCAGAGTGCGGCAAGAGGTTCAGGTGTAGCAGAGCTCTTACTTTGCATCAGAGAATCCATTCAGAGGAGAAACAATACAAATGCTTGGAATGTGGAAAGGGCTTCCGCTGGCGTTCAAACCTCAGTGTTCATCAGAGAACCCACTCAAAAGAGAAACCATATAAATGCTTGATTTGTGGGAAGAGCTTCACTCTCAGTACAAGCCTCACTTCCCATCGGAGAACCCACTCAGGGGAGAAACCCTACCAGTGCACAGTGTGTGGGAAATGCTTCAGTCAGAGTCCACATCTTACTTCCCATCGAAGAATCCATTCTGGAGAGAAACCCTATAAATGCCAGGAGTGTGGAAAAGGCTTCAGCCAGAGCTCACACCTGACTGTACACCAAAGCATCCACACAGGAGAAAAGCCATATAAATGCTTGGAGTGTGGAAAGAGTTTCCGTCTCAGCACACATCTTAAATTGCATAAAAGAATCCACACAGGGGAGAAACCATATAAATGCCTGGATTGTGGGAAAAGCTTCAATCAGAGCTCAAGCCGTAATGTACATCAAAGAATCCACACAGGGGAGAAACCATTTAAATGCTTGCAGTGTGGAAAGAACTTCTCCAGTGGCACACAGCTTATAGCACATCATACAATCCACACCGGAGAGAAAAAATATAGCTGTAGGGACTGTGGGAAAAGATTCAGGTGGAAATGTGATTTTACACACCATCAAAGAACACACACAGAGAAGAAGTCATAGAAATGATCTGACCAAGAGTTTTTGAAATACAAAAAGCCTTATGGATGTGAAATTAGTCACAGAGGCCCCGAATTATTAAATGATTAATTAGTTAAGAATTTTTTATTTTTCAGTGAGTCCTCAAACCTTAGGATACAGCCAGGAATCTAATAAGGGAGAAATGCTCAAGAGAACTGTGGTAAACCTGTTCATTCATAATCACTCTTCAGGGGGTAGATGCTCTGTCAACATTAAAATAAAACTATTTGCTCTTCATGGGTTTAGCTGATAACCCCATGAGACAATAATGGCACCAAATAGCCCCAAGGATTTAATGTCTCAGGAATGTACTTGCAGATGGGAAACTCCCCACAAAGGGCTGCAGATTCACTCTTGCGTGTCGAGCCTTCTGCAGCCCAGCATTGAGTCCTTTGTTTCCAGTGAGTGAAGTTCATTGTTTATTCACCTCCTGGTTTTCAGCCGAGTCATCCTGGCACATCTCTGGGCCATTCTCCATAGGCAGAGAAGATGCCCATATCTAAGCCTTTTCAGGTTTGTCTTCTGTCTTGAAAGCAGAGAGGCTGCTGTTACCTGTCATGGCTGTCCCGTGTGTGTTAAGTGTCCTTGTTCTTTTCAATCACAGGGTTGAGTCCAACTCTTTGTGACCCCATGGACCACATCACACCAGGCCCTCCTGTCTTCCGCCATCCTCCAGAGTTTGCTTAATTTCATGTTCATTGCATCGATAACACTGTCTAACCATCTCATCCTTTGCCGGCCCCTTCTTCTTTTTCCTTCAGTCTTTCCCAGCATCAGGGTCTTCTCCAGTGAGTGCTCCCTTCTCATTTGGTGGCCAGAGTATTTGAGCTTCAGCTTCAGTATCTGTCCTTCCAGGGAACAGTCAGGGTTGATTTCTTTTAGGACTGACTGATTCAATCTCCTTGCTGTCCAGAGGACTCTCAAGAGTCTTCTCCAGCACCATAATTGAAAGCATCTATTTTTTGGCGCTCAGCCTTCCTTCTGGTCCAACTCTCACAGCCATACATTACTACTGAGAATACCATTGCATTGACCATACAGACTTTTGTGGGCAGGGTGATGTCTCAACTTTTTATTATGCTGTCTAGGTTTGCCATCGCTTTCCTCCCAAGGAGCAGGCGTCTTTTAATTTCATGGCTGCGACTCTCTCTCTCTCTCTCTCTCTCTCTCTCTCTCGCTCTCTCTCTCGCTCTCTCCAAGCCAACTTTTGCACTCTCCTTTTTCATCCTTATCAGGAGGCTCTTTAGGTCCTCTTCACTTTCTGCCATTAGAGTGGTATCGTCTGCATATCTGAGGTTGTTGATCTTTTCCCCAGCAATCTTAATTCCCGCTTGTGATTCATCCAGGCCAGTATTTCGCATGATGTACTCTGCATATATATTAAATAAGCAAGGTGACAATATACATCCTTGTCGTACTCCTTTCCCTTTGCTAAACCAATCAGTTGTTCCATATCCGGTTCTAACTGTCGCTTCTTGACCCTTATACAGATTTCTCAGGAGACATGTGAGGTGGTCTGGTACTCCCATCTCTTTAAGGACTTGCCACAATTTGTTGTGATCCACACAATCAAAGGTTTTAGCATAGCCAATGGAGCAGAAGTAGATGTTTTTTCTGGTCCTCCCTTGCTTTCTCCATAATCCAGCGGATGTTGGCCATTTGATCTCTAGTTCCTCTACCTCTTTGAAACCCAGCTTGTACCTCTGGAATTTCTCTATCCACGTACTGCTGAAGCCTAGCTTGTACGATCTTGAGTGTTCTAAACAAAGCTATTTCCAGATGGCTGCAGATAATCCTTCAGCCGTGCTGCAGAGTTAAACAGGAACAGCTTTGAACACTAACCCGGTTTTTCTTTGTCTCTTTTAAAATTGTAATTCCTTTGTTGTAAAGTGTTTTTAATAGCTTGTGAGTTGCTTCAGTAGAAAGGTGATTTATGTAAGATCAAAATAAATAGACTGGAAAGGAAGAAGAGGGAAGGGATAAGTTTTGAGGGAGTAATATAAATTTTGTATGCAGGTTTTATACATAGTAAATGTGGTTTTGCAATGGACAGCAAAGAAAGGAAGAATTTATAAAAGTCAGATGGTTTGATCAGGAGAAAAACAACACATTTCATTTTTGCAGTGTTAATATTTTAAATAACCAGAAATCATGCAACGAAATAGAGGAGGTGTTGCCGGAAATGTCTTTTGATGTAACATTTTAGAATGAATTCAGCATCTGACTTCAGTAAAGCTGTTTCATTCTTAGTAAAGTAGGCCGTAAGGCACAATGGCTTGTTGGACGTAACTCAGTGTCGGCTGAATATGAAGAATGGTTAATAGTAGCAGACTCTAATCTGAAGAACTGGGTTTGATTCTCCACTCCTCCACATGAAGCCAGCTGGGTGACTTTGGGTCAGTCACATCTCTCTCAGAGCGCTCTCAGCCCCACCTGCCTCAGGGTGTCTGTTGTGGGGAGAGGAAGGGAAGGTGATTGTAAGCCCCTTTGGGACTCCTTCAAGTGGTGAAGAGTGGGGTGTAAAACCAACTCTTCTAATAAAGTATATGCACTATATTTGCAGACAGTCAACTGTCACTTAGTCTAGAAGTAATAAAAAGCCTCAAGTTTTTATTATAACAATTGCAATATCGTTTGCTTTCCTTTTCCTTGATCGAGTCAATTGAATTAATAAAACAGATACTTATTTTTTATTTCCTCATTTTTCTATTGTTGGTGTGTCCCCCCCCCCTTGCATATTTTTGTTATTTAGAGTATAGTCTTTAGTCCAGGGCTCTTTTTGTAGAAAAAGCCCAGCAGGAACTCATTAGCATAATAGGCCACACCTAACAGCAGGAACTCATTAGCATATTAGGCCACAGCCCTGACAGCACAGCTCATTAGCACATTAGGCCGCACCCCCATGTTACCAGAAGTGTGGTTATCCAGCCACACCCACCTTTTGCTTGTTATTCTGTTTACCTTGTTTGTTGTCAAAACCCAGGGCTTTTTTTGTAGCAGGAACTCCTTTGCATGTTAGGCCACACACCCCTAATGTAGCCAATCCTAATGAGTTTCTGCTGTTGGGTGTGGCCTGTTATGCAAATGAGTTCCTGCTGGGCGTGGCCAACTTGGGAGCCCGCCGGAACTCCGTTCCTGTGCGTTCCTGCCCAAAAATAGCCCTGGTCTTTACCCTGTCAATCATACATGACAGTAACTCTTGGAAGGATTCTTTATGTAAGCTAACTAGAAGCTTGTAGACTCTAGATACACAATGAACAGTGCCATCCTAACCCCCTGTAGAATTGAAGTAAATGCTTTTTGGTTCCCCCCCCCCCGAATTTACATATCATTCTCACAACAAAAAATGCTTCTCTTATAGCCATCATGCATAGCTAATAGCCACTGATGGACCATATTTATTATATGGCGATCTCATGGCGACTCACAACACTGAAACATCTTTAAAACCAACAAAGAAGAGATTGGATTTATACCCTGCCCTTCACTCGGGGTCTCAGAATGGCTTACAAACTTCCTTCCCCTCCCCACAACAGACACCCTGTGAGGTGGGTGGGGCTGAGAGAGCTCTGACAGAAACTGCTCTTTTCAAGAACAGCTCTGACAGAACTATGGCTTTCCCAAGGTCATCCAGCAGCTGCAAGTGGAGGAGTGGGGAATCAAACCTGTTTCTCCCGGATTAGAGTCTCTGCACTTAACCACTACACCAAACCATCTATATATAAAATTAAAATAAATGACTTAGCACTATACCACTATCAGTCAGCCCAAAACATCTGGTTAACCTCCAAAGGCCAACCTGAACAATTCAGCCTTGCAAGCCCTGCGGAAACTAAGCAAGCCCCACAAGACACAGTGTCATCTGAGAGTCCATTTCACAGGACCGTAACTGAGAAAGCCCTTCTCCTGGGAACAGCTAACGGAACCATCCTGGGACCAGACACCTGCAAGAGTCCCCGAGAAGATGACTGAAGAGGGTGTGGGGGATATAATGGGAGAGGGGGTCCCATAGATATGAGGATCCCAGACTGTAAAGGGGTTTAAAAGTTAACACCAACACCATGGATCCAGAAACTAATTGGTAGCCAGTGCAGCTGCTGCAAAATTGGAGTGAGATGGCAGGAAATATAGGGGAATAGTTGCTGGTCTTGATTAAAAAGTTCATGGAGGATGTTTCCACAAGTCAGAAACAGAGCTGGCATAGCCTGTCAGCTAAGCATGCCAACGGGGTCTAGAGACCCAGAACGGAATAGCCTTAGAGCGGGTCAAGAAACAAAGAATAACACAATGACATTGCCTTTGTAGATCAGAAACAGTCTAACCTCTAGCAAGAGATAATGTATGAGGGCGGGGTAAAAATGTAAAAATAAAATAAATGTATTGGGGACCAAGTGTGAGGCGCATATGAGAATAGCAAGTGTTCAAACTTCATGGAAGTGAAGAAGATGATAGTTCAAAGATGTACAAGTGTATGAAAAACTTCGAATTACTATTTTAAAATAAACTACTATATAAATAAAAGGCTCGTCTGTCAGTTTGTGGCAGACATGACTCCTCTGAAAATAAAGCCAGGCGCCTCAAAATTGGCCATTGGCTTCAGGATGACAGTAGGAGTTGCAGTGCCAGAAATGAAGGGAATTGGAACCTCGTGGATGACTGATCTTCACACACACACACACACACCCTTGCTTTTTACATTGAAATGTATGGCTCTATGTGCAGGCATAACTCCTCCAAAACTAAAGCAAGGAGCCTCAACATTGGCCTCTGCCTTCAGGATGGTGATGGCTGTCGCTGTACCCAATGATTGCAATCAGAAAATTCTGGACCAGGTTATTTTCAGACCCCACTTCCCCAAATCTGCCCTGGAACCTCCGGTTGCCTGCGGCAGGCATCACTCATTCACAGATAATAGCAGAAGTGTCAAAACTGGGCACTCGCTTGAGGGTGATCATGGGAGCGGCAGTGCCAAACATATCATC